TGAATCAATGGAATTTACAGGGAAGTTGATTTGCCAAATCCAAACGGATTCAGTGGGCCTGCTCCAGTGTAACTGACTCTGCGAAGCCACAGGGTTTTGACCAATATTCTCCAAGTGAAATGGGCTTACTCTAACTGTGATTTACTTTAAGATAGTAAGTCACAGTTTGAGTAGGCCCATTTGAATCAATGGAATTTACAGGGAAGTTGATTTGCCAAATCCAAACGGATTCAGTGGGCCTGCTCCAGTGTAACTGACTCTGCGAGGCCACAGGGTTTCGACCAATATTCTCCAAGTGGAACGACCCAATTGCTCAATGGCTGACGAGTCTTTCTAATTAAGATGGCAAAACACGAAGAGGAGGAGGAGGAATGCTTAGATATCATGAGATCCTCAACGGAGAAGGGGTCCAGCTGCCCACAGGCTTCCTGGGGAGGTTGGCCCTTTCAGAAGGTGCTTGACTTACCAGGGACCTGGTGGTTGAAGGACAAAGGTGCTTTAGCCAGCCTCCCAGTGACAATGAGTTACTCAGACAAAGGAGCCAGTCAAAGTGAGGAGTTATATGAGGACAGACAGTCTTGTATAGTGGCCAGGCCAGTTCTTGGGAGATCAAGGTTCAAAGCCGTGCTCATGCACAATGCTCACAGGGTGACCCTGAGCCAGTCTTAACCCTACACGACAGGGTTATTGTTGTAAGGGTTAAAACAGGGTTGGTGGTGGTTATGAGCTCCTTCAAAGGGCAGGGGGTAATGTGTTTTGACCAAACTCCGGGTGGCAGTGGAAGACAGGAGGGACTGGCCTGCTCTGGTCCATGGGGTCACGAAGAGTTGGACACGACTTAATGACTAAACAACAAAGTGTGTTACCCATAGGAAGGAAGACCACTAGGCTTATTTTCCAGCCCTACCTCCAGATGGCCCCTAATTACAGCTGAGATCTGGTACATGCAAAGGATGTTATCTGCACATGCTGCATCCTTAAAAAGTACTCATTGTAATGCTAAGCCTGATAAGGCCCAGGGAGGACATAACTGGCCTGGCATTCACCTGATCTTCCTGGATCTCATGGCTGCAGTACCCATTCTGGCCATTTGCAAAGGTGGCGCTGCAGAGCACCAGGAAATGGGCTTGGGGGTTGGGTTTCTCATTCTTTCTTCTAAGAAGCCCCTGTGGCGCAATTGGGGAGCTGGCATCTGGGCCCTGGTGCAAGATTGCCTTTGGTAAGAGCCCTCTGACGGCTCCCACCGTCTTCGGTGCGCTTCCCCTGCCAAGGCAGATGTTACGTAGCCATTGCAATCTGGTTTCCACTGCTCTCTGACAGCTCTCTGAGATAAAAGCCCTCATCAGGCCCTTGGGAACTCAGTAGTTTAGGCTTAACCCTCCCCCCCCATCAAAAGGCTCCCAGGTCAAGCCACACAATCCCTAGCAAGAGAGAACCAAAGGTCACAGAGCTTCAAAACAACAACAACACAACTTCATTTCGAACCAGAAATGACACAGTTTTGACTGCAGCACACCCAAGGGAGAGAGGGTAGCTCCACCAGAGAAGCGGGGGGGGGGGGGGAAGCGATGCTTTTGGACTACAACTCCCAGAATCCAATAGTCAGCATGACCACTGGAATTCTGGCTGTGATTCTCAGAAGAGCAGTCCAAACTGCCCCCCCCTTTGCAGCCTTTTTACTGGATTTGAGCAGAGACCGCCGCTTCCGTGGTGCTGAGCGGGGCTCTGAGGCCGGCTGGATCACCCGTCTGCAAATGTTGAGGCCACGTTAAGATCGGTGGAAACCTTTAACTGATCTGGCTAGCAGGTCCCCTTCCACATTGCAAAGCCTGGCTCTTAGGCTGGATGGCTCCATCTCTGCTTCAGCACTGCCACCTACACACGGTCCTCAGTTGTGCACAAGCATCCACCCCATAGAGATACAAAAGATGGGCTCTATTTTAAGCTTTCCATCCTGTCTCAACCAGTCTCTCTCTCTCTCTCCTTCCCTCTCTCTCTCTCTCTGGAACCTGACACTAGGAGATATTTGTTCTTGTCAGTTTCATCCTCCACGTAGTCTTCTCCAGAGGCCAAGTGAGAAAATGCTAAAAGGGGTTGCACATAAATTCAGAGATGTGGCTCCTTTTCTTTAAAAAAAAAAAACCTACAGCGCCTGGAATACCCCAGTCACCATGGTTAGTGGCCACACTGGGTGGAGGACACTGGAACTGTAATCCAAAGAAATAATTTTATTTCTGTGCAACGGTGCAGTTTGTATAAAATATGATATTAATAGATGTGCGGCCTCTCATTCATATAGAAAGATTCCTTCCTTGCCGACTGCTTCCATTTTTTCAACTCAGTGGAAAGCATCTCATCATTGCTTGCTTGTTTGTATCCTGCTTTCTTGTGGCCCTTGAAGTTCCTCCGAGCAACACGGTTTCCTTGCTTGCTGACACTGGAGTCACTCACAAGCGTCCGTGCGGAAGGACCTTCCCGAATGCCAAAGCAAGGGCTCACCAGTCCTGTTCCCTACACAGGGAAGCTGAAGGGTGTGCTAACAGAAGGTGGCGAAAATATTCTCCAGGGACAGGAAAGCACATTTCTGCCTTTGCCCCCATGTTGCCTCGAGCAGTGGCTCTGAAACCTTTAAAAAACCCATTTTGCTAAAGAGGAAAATCTCATGCCCTCCCCAATCATGTGAACATTTGCAACTATAGACAAAGCCTTTGCAAATTCACAAACATGACCGCACATCCTATGGTCACACAATACAGCACAGGCTAAGACAGCAGGATATGTAATCATCCCCTCCCCATTTTCCAAATCATAAGTATCATAACCTCCCCACGCCGCTGCCCCCCCAAATAAAACCCTACACAAGCCTCCTCCAAAATTCTGATATCAACCTCTGGAGACCAGGAGCACGGCTCACTAGGTGGGAATAGCAAAGGGACAAAGACCGCATCTTAGTCTTCACTGGAAGGTCCCTTTTTTTTTTTTTTTTTTAGAAGAGTGACGGTAAAAGCCATTCCCCATTTAAAGACCAACAACAGCAACTTCCTGCTAGACTGGGTAGGGGAGGAAATAATGAATGGGTGGAAAGATGGAGTAATTCTTCATGAGCCTTCTTAAGCTGGACGAAGGTCTTAAAGTTCTCCATCCTCTCCTTGCCCTCAAGATTACTGTCAGAAAGCCTTTCTCTAGCTGCCTAATTTTTCCAGTTTATTATCAAGAACCATGGTGTTTACCTCTCTCACTCAGGGAGAGGACGCAGAACATAGAGATCCTGACCTCTAGCGGTCGAGACCAAGAGGCCCGGATGGATTCTGTGCCTTGTTTATTCCGTGAAAATGTGCAGGGTTTGGCAGAGAATCAGAATCGTGTTTGGCAGACCAAGCTGTTTCAACAGATTTCATTACCCAGAAAAGTCACAACAGCAGCACCGGGGTGTTAAAGAGGCTGATGAGAAGGATGATGAGAACCAGAGCACAGGAAAGGGACTTGGCTCCCAATGGCAATGTCAACAGACAGACTCTTTCTTGGGAGGGGCTGTGGCAAGATGGTTAGAAAAAGGGGATGTCTGAGATTTCGCTGGTGGACTGAGCAGAAATAGTCGGGTAGAGCTAGGAACCTTCCTTTGAGGAAATCATTCAGGACGTGTCATTTTTTGGAAGTAGCTAACTAGTATTAATCATTACTTTAATTGTAGCCTATTTTAAGACACAGCTTTTTAATTTGCAAGAAATTTAGAAACCTCTTCCCCATAAACTGCTGGAGAGCTCAGTGGTTTAGTTCTCCAGCTGTGGAGCCAGAGGTTGGGAGTTCAATTCCCCCACTGGGTCTCCTTGAGAGGGGCTGGACTGGATGATCCCACAGGGTCCCTTCCAGCTCTGCCGTTCTAAGATGTTGCTGCTGATATGTTACTGCGGCCTCCAGCCCTCACCCCAACAATAACCTGAACATGCTGCCCACCTAAGTAACTTTTAAAAGAAGCGAGGAACAGTCGCACATGACAACATGAATGGAATGACAATACAGGATATTATGTTACCTGCTGCAAAGGGACGCTGTGAGCCTGCGGTTGCAAAAAAAAATCAAAGTATCACCACTTTAAAAATAGAGAGGGGGTGTCAAATGGAAGTGAACCTCATTTGTTGTGGGGGTTTGGAACTAAGGATGTTTAGCTTAACAAAGAGAAGACCAAGGGGGAGACCTGATAGGCGTCTTCCAAGATCTGAAGGGTTGCCACAGGGAAGAGGGCATCGATTTATTCTCCATTGCTCCTGAGGGGTAGGACAAGAACCAAGGGGTGGAAACTTGTCAGAGAGAGAGCCAACTTGGAATTAAGGAGAAATTTCCTGATGGTGAGAACCATCAAGCAGTGGAACAGCTTGCCTCCCGATGGGGTGGGTGCCCTGTTGCTGAAGGTGTTCAAGAAAAGATGGGACAGCCCTCTGTCCGGGATGGTCTGAGGTCTCTTGCCTTGGGCAGGGGGTCAGACTAGAAGACCTCCAAGGTCCCTCCCAACCCTACGATGATTCTATGATTTGATGGTGTTCCCCGCAGCCTCAAAGGATGCCAGGGCAGAAGATCAGCCCCCAATTCTGCCACAGTTACACACACACACCCATTATAGACACCGCTGATGTTGGAAGTGACCCCACCAACAGTTCTGGAGTGTGTGTCACATGCTAATGGAGTGGGGGAGGGAAGAGGAGGGCACCGGGTATTGACCCTCGTAGAAATATCTAAGGAGCGAATGTACCGAACCGAGCCCCGTGACTCATCCATCCCATGAGGACGTGAAAACTCTTTGATGGGGCGACTGCCAGGCTACACAAGGCTGCCCGCGAGGATGGCAGCCGGAGGGGACCTGATGCCCCACCTGGCACGTGCAGGAGACCAAGGAAGGGATGAAGGAAAAGGTGAGGCCACCCCCTCCCTTCCTTTTACTCGCCACAGCTGCATTTCAGAACCTCAGAACTTCAGGCCTCCAGAATCCAGAGAGAAATCAGAAGCTGTGAAAAGGTGTATATTTTCATGCCAGTGAAAAATGGTGTGGATAGAATGGAGAATATGTGGGGTCCTTTCAACACGGGATTAACTCCACGTCCAGCGTGTTGCCCTTCAGCTGACCATCATCCCACCACATCCCTCGCCCGATCAGCAGAGTTCTCTGGCTGCTTGGGCTCCCATTGGGGAGATTTCCCCCCCTTTGCCCTTCACAAGACGCTTGTGCAGCTCTGCCCAGGTGAGGCTTCTTTGGGGGGAGCGCCTGTCTTCATAGGGAGCCTTTGATAGTAACAGCAGAGCCGTCCCGATGGCGGAGTCTCTGGGCTTGGCTCATTCAGCTGCAGAAAGATCCAAGTCACCTAATCAGAAAGGGAATCTGGCTGCCGGCTCTGCATTCAACACCACGGCCTGACTAAGAATTCAGATTTTCACAAAATCATTTCAGCCTTGCAGAAACCCACACAGTAGGAGAGGAAGGCTCTTGTCTGGCCAAACCCATTGGGCTTATCCTTACACTTGCCCCGGATCTAGTTGTTATTGCTAGGGTGTTGTGAGGGTTTGTGAATTCAATCGTTAAAGGCTCCCGTGAGTCTAAGGCCCCCACCCCAGGGAGCAGGGCTGGCTGTTGCACCTCTGCGTGATGCCCAGTTCTGGAGATGGACGGACACCATTCCAAAGCCTGCATGGCTTGGATCCAGATTCATTCAAGGCCTGCATCTCAGGGGAAGTATACCTTTTCTGGCCCTCCACCTCACAGGCATATTTGGTGAGGATAGGAGGGAGGACCTTCCCATGGGCTGCTCCCAGGCTGGGCCTTTGTCTGCTTTCCTTCCACTGGCAGGCAAACCTCTTTTTCCTTAGGCAGACCTTTGGCCACTTACTGGGAGTCGCCGGGCTGTCCTTTGAATCTGGCTGGAATTTAGAAATTTCTGTCTGGCTTCTTTAACCTTAAAGGGGGAATGGAAGCCTTCTGATCAAACGCTCCGAAAGGATGAAAACAACAAGGAGGCTGCGCGCTTCTTCCTTGTGAGTCAGAGCTCTGGACCCGGCACCATCCAAAACAGGGACTCGCACAGAAGCACAGCAGGCAAGCCCTGCAGCGTCTGGGCAAGTCATTCTTTTGCAAAGAGCATGGGGGAAATTCCCTTTTCAGCTCCCAGAATTAGCTACCTGTCTATCCACCAGCCATGCTGCCCAGAAGATGTTGGGATTGGTAGCCCCGAATGTAGCTTTTCAAAGTTCTGCTTGAATGTACATGTTAACTGCAGAAATCTCTCTTGTGAGCCACTTAAACAACAACAACAACAACAACAAATTGGCTGAAAACCTGTTGCACTCTTGGTCAAATGGCATCATGTTAGTTAAGGAATCTCTGTAGATTAAGCCCTTGCACACCAAATCATGAGACCCGATAGGCAACAGATAACGTTACGGAGATTTCTTAACTGACAGCATAGCTGGGCAACAGGATTTCAGCAATAATCTGCTTCCATCCTGGGGAGTTTCCCACAAGGAAGCTTTTCTGTTGGCCTTTATGTTTTGCTGACCAACTGCTACTTCCGTAATAAGAAATTCATAGTGGTTTAACCTGGGCTGAGTTGTCCTTGCTTTCCATTGCCAGTGACCCTGCCTCCTTGTTCTTCCACTTTTTCCATCTTGAACGGTGTTCACTGGAAAATAGAAGAGAGGTGGTTCTGGTCGTTTCTTTTGACATGATTATATTACATCGTAAGCCTATGTATCCTGATTTCATGCCAGGAGGAACTTAGAATAAGCAGTTACCCAAAGCTGGATCAGACCAACAGCCGATGTGTCTCTTCATCCTGTTTCCCTGGAGTGGCCAAACGGGTTTTTTTGAGAAGCTCAAAGGCACCACAGGAGTTCAATAAAACTTTCCCAGTAATATGTCTCTTATCCTCCATGAACTTCAGCTTCTGTTCATGTCGTCTAAGGAGACAACCAGGCAAGCATATAGCTTGCCATAGGGTTTGCTCTTTCTGCCGTTTGGTTCACCCTACTGGCTGCAAAAAAAGGCCAGTGCTATTTGAGGATGCATTAAAAGAAGTATAGTCTCCAAATTCCATGAGGTACCAGTCTGCCCCCCCCCTCTATTCAGCTCTGGCCAGGCCTTGAGTCCTGTGTCCAGTTCTGGATGCTGCACTTCAAGAAGGATGCTGACAAACTGGAGCAAGTTCAGAGGAGGGCAGCAAGGAGAATCAGGAGGCTGGAAACCAAGCCCTGTGAGGAGGGATGGAAAGAACTGGGCATGTTTCGCCTTGAGAAAAGAAGACAGAGGGGTGAAAGGATAGCACTTTTCAAAGTTGAAAGTCTGTCATTCAGAGGAGGGGGCAGGATCTGTTCTCGATCATCCCAGAGTGCAGGATATGTAAGAATGGAAGCTAGATTTCAGCTGAATATCAGGAAAAAAATCTTAGCTGTCAGAGCAGTACAACAATCAAGCCCATTACCTCAGGGGGAGGTGGTGAGCGCTCCATTGCTGGAGGCATTCAAGAGAAAATGGGACAGCTCTCTGTCAGATCTGCTTGGATTTGAATTCCTGCCTTGAGCAGGGGGGTTGGACTCGATGACCTTCTTGATTCCCTTCCAGCTCCATGATTCTATGTTTTCATGACTCTACGAGTCTACTTTCTGGCAACCACACATGTTTTAAGTAAAAGAGATCCATCCTGCCCTTTTTTGTGGGCTGCTCTGCTTCTTTCTGTCACATGCTGTTAGCTGCTAAATAATCACCACTGGTAACTGACTGCAGCAGCAAATACGTACTATCAAAGCAAGGCCCTCCCTTCTTCCTACAGGCAAAGCATTAAACTTTCATATTCAGACCGATAATAGATAGAAGCGTTTGCATTTATGGATTTCATAGTAAATTTTAGTCATCTTATCTACAAGCCAACTGGACCGTCATGGGACATTTATGGCTGGTAAGCTTCAAATGACCCATCCTTTGAGGAGAAGTCACCTCTGTGTTCCAGAGGCAGAATTTGCCTATGGATTGGGGTGACTTCCTGGTTGGAGAGACAAGACGTGCTGGTGAAATCTGTTCTTGCCTCCTGATGGCCCATCACCAAGTGAGCAAATTTGCCAACGATGGGAGGCGTTCAATAATTGTCTCATTACTTAAGGAGTCCCTCCTTCTCATGGTGGCCTGTGTTCAGCATAGGGCTTGGCTTTATGTAATGAAGACTGCCTGGACGTACCACTCGGGCAGGCCGGCCGGAGGACCAACTTAGGGATTTTTTCCCCCTCTCCTGCTCGAATGGCTGGTGCACGCTTACCAGAAACCATTCTTTTGAATCCCAAACACCAGGCCGCAAAGAACTGCTGCACAGACCAAGCCAATGAATACCCCAGCCAGGATCTTGAACAAATGCAGGTCTGCAAGGGTGGCAGGCAATGCTGGAGAGGGGGTTACTTTTGACAAGGGGAGAAAAAGAAAGGACAGACATTAAAATGGCTTAATCGGATGCCAGTCTCCCCTCCCTCTCCCCCCAAGGGGTGCCTTGTGGATGTCTTGGACTATAGCTCCCATCATCCCCAGCCAATGTAGCCATCAGCTACAGATGATAGCTGGACAGAAGAGCTAGTATGTACACTAGGGAAGCCAAACCTCTTGTACCACAATGAGCCTGTCTGAACTAGCCTTCCCTTGATCTAGAATCTTAGGTCCCTCCGGAGGCCTAGCATGCCTTCCCGTGGCCATCAGCCATTGCTGCCTGGGGTCTTAGACAGCAGGAGGGATTTCCTATCACCAGTGAAATTATCCTTTACACGACACCGTCAGCGGTTGTCAGAACCCAAGTCACGATGCACTCCAGGGGTGTTTGACAACGACTCTGATTTGAGAGGGGTTTTCATCTGGTCTTATGGGAGCTCTCCAAAGTGATGAATCCCATTTTCAAAATGGGCTCAGTGCTTGTGAGAACTCCTTCGAAGTTTGGACTAAAATCCAGAGTGGATTCACCACCCTCACAGAATTGGAGTCTTCCATCTCCGCTTCTTTGCTTTAAACGGAGACGGGAGAAGAAAGTTGTACCTGTGATCTTCCATATGCAAGGCAAATGTTCTTCTCGACTGAGCTATGGGGCTCCCGACCCCCACGGCCAACCCTCTTAAATTTTCCTCTTTGTCCCATGGCTGCCATAAGGATGCCCCAACCTCTCCTGCAGCAGAACCCCCTTCTCTGCTGTCACCCTATAAATGTGACTTACTCACGGCGCTGAAGTTCATGGCACTGGCCATGGTGCCAAGAGAGTTGCCAGCCCAGCACAGATAATGTCCCGAATCCTCTGCAGTGAGGTCTCGAATCTCCAGCCTCAGGCTGTTGTAGGAGAAGAATGGGATGAAGCGCCGGCTGGCAGCAGATCGAGAGCCGTTGGTGCTAGCCACGAGTTGACTTCCTTTGAACAAAGCCAATTCAGAGCGTGGATGGCTATCGACTCTGCAGTAAATGATGCCCGCTTTCCCCCTTTGATTGTCCAGGTAGGCACTCATGGAGGGGCTCCTGGGTGCATCTGTATGGACAAGAACACCAGGAACGTTGTGCTGGATCAAGCCAAGAAAGGATGACTGCACTACTACCGACAGGTGGGCAGCTGAAGGACTGAGAGCGGCACTTTTAGCCAGCTGCCTTGGGAAGCCCCACAAGATTCCCTCTGGCTCCCGAACCTGGTGCACAGGCAACCCACAAGCTTTTAGCTTCCCCCTGGCATCACAAGGACTCTCAGTGTATGCTTTTAGAGAGAAGTTTTAGATGCTAAGGACTCAGCTAGAGGAGGTAGATTCACAGGCACCGGTTAAGATGCAGTACTGCAGTGAAGGATCTGCTCACAACATGAGCTCAATCCCAACAGGCGCAAGCTTTTGGACACTAGGGAAATGCTTAGCTAGCAGTGCTTTTTTTTGGGGGGGGGAAAGGAAGCAGAACCTCTGCCAGAGCTGAGGAATTCCCGCCGAGGTGTTTGCACCTGTCAGCAAATGGAAAGGCCTGCTTAAGAGTGACTCAGGCGAGCACGTGGAAGATCCACAGACCTTTAAAAACGCGCAGTGGCCATTCTAGAAAGGAGTGCTGCTGTTTTGGAGAAGCGGCTGGAGAAGGCACTTCAAAACAACAAAATCAATGACTCATTTCATCTGACATTCCTGTTGCAAAAGCTGTCGCTGCTCCTAGAACTGTAAAATTTCCAAAAAATCAGCTTTTTTTCTGAACAACAACAACCCACAACTTTTTCCCCGTTTTTTTTTCTGTAAAAAACCGGTCATTTTTGGAAATTGTACATCTCTCATCCTCAGTGCATTAAACATGCCCAGTGTTTTCTGGAAGAATTAAAAATTGGGGGGAGGGAGTTTTTTTTTCTGGAAAAAAAATGATATTTTTGGAAATGTTGTACTCTCTAGCCCGCTCCACCTGGATGGTTCCCGTCTTGGAAATCTTCCACACACATCCTTCCTGTTGCTCGTATGGGGGGGGGGGTTTCTGGGAAAAAAATGATATTTTTGGAAACGTTGTACTCTCTAGCCCACTCCACCTGGATGGTTTCCCTCTTGGAAATCTTCCACACACATCCTTCCCCGGTTGTTGCTCGTGAGGAGGGAAAGCCTCCTCAGGGGGAGCAACAGGGAAAATGAGGCAACTGCAACAGCAATGAGATGCAGAGAAAGTGATCTGAAGCAACTGGGAGAGGATAATAAGCCGATTGGAAGGTAGCCTGGAGAACCCTATGGCCTCTTCTACATCTTGGTTTAGATTACTACTCATAGATTCACTTGCTCATTGTCCTCTGAAATCCCTTATTGCTTCCTCCTCCTCCAGCTAAACAGAGGCCTTTAATTCCTGCTCTGGACCGGCTCATCCATTTTTCCAGTAGCAATGTATGGAAGTGGGAGCTGGACCATCAAGAAGGCTGACCGCCGAAGGATTGGTGCTTTTGAATTGTGGTGCTGGAGGAGGCTCTTGAGAATCCCCTGGACTGCAAGGAGGATAAACCTATCCATTCTGAAGGAAACCAACCCTGAGTACTCACTGGAAGGACAGATCCTGAAGCTGAGGCTCCAGTACTTTGGCCATCTCACGAGAAGACTCCCTGGAAAAGACCCTGATGGTGGGAAAGTGGGAAGGCAAGAGGAGAAGGGGACGACAGAGGATGAGATGGCTGGACAGGGTCATCGAAGGGACCAACATGACTTTGACCCAACTCCGGGAGGCCGAAGAAGACAGGAGGGCCTGGCGTGTGCTCTGGTCCATGGGGTCACAAGGAGTTGGACACAACTTAACGACTAAACAACAACAACCAGCTCATCTCTAGGAGCTTCTGCAACCCACTTGAGCACTCTTCCTCCTGCAGTGTGCCTGAATGCCTTTCCTGAATCAATAAACACAGATTTTCATTCCCCCCCCCAACCCATTTATGTTTTTGTTTTTCAGCCCAATTAGAAGACTCACAAAGTACATTCAAGCTGACGAAGGCAGACGTTAGGGTGCCCATCGGTCCCGCTGCCTGGCAGTGGTAGGAGCCCGCATCACCCCTGGCCACATTGCCCATTAGGAACGACGGGTCGGGACTCTCCCGGAGCCATCGGCTGTTCTTGTACCAGGTATAGTTCATCTCTCCCATGGCTCGGCTGGCGACCACACAGGTCAGGTTGGCTGAGTCCCCTTCCTTGATATCTGGAGAGGGATCAATGTTGATCCTTGCACCTGGGGAGCCAAGATTAAACAGTCATGACCCTTGTTTGTCATGATGCAATTCTGACAGACCCATTTGTATAGCAAAAGCTCAGTAGCAGCTAAAAAAAAAAACAATAGTGACGTCCATGAAAACATTCATGTTCTTCATTGTGAGGAAGAAATTATATGTACAGTACATGAAACTTTCTTGCGTTGCCAGGGAGCAGATGCATGAGCAACTCCAAAGACCATTCAAGGAGACCCCCCAACGCCCTTCATTCAATGGCTCTTTATAAATAAATCAATAACTAAATTAAGTCAAGCCACATGGGAGGAGCTTGATAACAGTTCTGGTTGCCTGTGAAGACAACCCACCTTTCAATAATCCTCAGGGTGAAGAGCTTCTAAGAAAATCAACTTGTTCTCTCTTTTAGAGTGAAGGCAATGCCCTTACTCTGAATTGACTTAGTGACATCGTCATTCAAGTCGTATATCACTGACTAGGTGGCCCTGTTGACTGTGAAATTCTGGGAGTAATGCTGCAAAGAAGCCATATTTTCAAACTCTGAAAATACAGAGTATATGGGGAGGGTCTAAGTGAATCACTTACTCTCCACGCTGAAGTGTATGGAGACCGTAGAGTTCCCATAAGTGTTGTTTGCTAGGCAGTGGTACTGTCCTTCATCCTCCAGAAGGATCTTCTCGATTTCCACTTTCAGGGAATTATGTGCTGAGAGGACGCTGAGCCGTTGGGTAGGGAAAGTCCCAGGATTCCTGGTGGAAGCCAGCAACAGGTTTCCTCGGTACAGAGCTACCTCGGATGGAGGGTGGCTCTCCACTGTGCATTGTATGATGGCACGGTTCCCTGACTGGGTCTCCAGGAAAGAGATCAGGGATGGCTGTTTTGGAGCATCTGTGGGGGGAAGGTACAAAACCATATGTCGGTTACAAAAGGGAAATAACAAAGGAGGTGGGGGCAGAAACACAGGGTATGCCAAAGCGTGTGAGATCGAGATCTCCCTTAGCACAGGGACACAACGCTATGACACCACAACAAAGTGAGGGGTGTTGTTGTTATGTTCCATCCAGTAGGGAACTGACTTAGGGTGGCCCTAACAGGGATTTAAGTGAGATATTTAAAGAGTGGCTTAAGCCGTTCCACCTTCCCCAGGGAGTTTCCATAGACGAGCAGGCATTTGAACCCAGATCTCTTGACTCTTAGTCCATCGCTCTATCCACTGCACCACACTGGGGGTATCCAGAGTAAATGTAGTCCCAAATAATTGACAACTCCCACGGTCTGGGAGGTTTTGACCCAGCATAACTTTAGTTGGCCTCATATCGTTGATGACGCTGATGACACCCGGCTCTACCTCTCCTTTTCTCCAACCACAGTGGATGCTGTCCCGTCCCTTCGCCGCTGCCTGGAGGCTGTACTGCAAGGGATGCAGGAGAACGGACTGAGGCTGAACCCGGACAAGACAGATGTCCTGAGGGTGCGTGGCCCCTCCATCGGTGGCTTGGGGGACTCCATCACTTTTGGAGGGGGGTGACTCTCACCACGAAGAGTGAGGTTCGCAGTTTGGGGGTCCATCTGGATCCATGGAAACCCAGGTGGTGTCAGTGGTCCCCTCTGCCTTTTTCCATCGGTGGCGGATTGTCCAGCTGCGTCTTTATCTTGATGTTGGGCCGCTCACCACTCTGGTCCATGCACTTGTAATCTTGAGATTAGACCACTGTAATGCGCTCTACATGGGGCTGCCTTTGAGATTGATGCGGAAGCTTCAAATGGTGCAAAATGCGGCGGCCAGACTTCTCAGTGGGGCGAGAAAATATCATCACATCTCCCCCACTCTGGCTGCCTTGTATTGGCTTCCCGTTTGTTTCCACATTGATTTCAAAGTATTAATGATGACATAAAAAGGTAAAGGTAAAGGTTCCCCTTGACAATTTTTGTCCAGTCGTGTTTGACTCTAGGGGGCGGTGCTCATCCCCATTTCCAAGCCATAGAGCCAGCGTTTTGTCCAAAGACAATCTTCCTTGGTCACATGGCCAGTGCGACTTAGACACGGAACGCTGTTACCTTCCCACCGAGGTGGTCCCTATTTATCTACTTGCATTTGCATGCTTTCGAACCGCTAGGTGATGATGACATATAAAGCCCTAAATGGTTTAGGACCTCAATATCTAGTGGAACGCTTCCTCCCACCTAGATCTACCCAAATCACTCGTTCTAGCCAGGGAGGGCAGCTGAGGGGCCTAACGCCGAGGGAGGCCCGGAGAGAAAGAACAAGAAACCGGGCCTTCTCGGCAATGGCTCCTTGCCTTTGGAACAGTCTGCCCACACAGATCTCCCTGGCTCCCTCGCTGGGTGTTTTTAAGAGCAAACTTAAGACCTGGCTCTTTAGGCAGGCTTTCCCGCCTGTCATCACCTGATTATGTTTCCTATCTTGAACTATATTATTACTATTGTTTTTTATTTTATTATATTGTTTTTATTTTATTTATTATTGTTAGCCACCCAGAGTCGACTTCGGTCTAGATGGGTGGGGTATAAATCCAATAGATAGATAGATAGATAGATAGATAGATAGATAGATAGATAGATAGATAGATAGATAGATAGATAGATAGATAGATAGATAGATAAATAAATAAATAAATAAATAAATAAATAAATAAATAAATAAATAAATAAATAAATAAATAAATAAATAAAAGTATTGCCTAAGCTGGTTCTCGGCTCTCTTGCCTGGTCTCATACAGCTATCCTTCCTGTACTGTTTACAACACAAGGATTTCTTCTCCATCAAAATATTACTGTTGGTGGAAGCCACATGTACATGTGTATTATTTACAGCTCAGTATTTCTATCATCATCATTGACACTGTTGTTGTCAAAACATTTTGTGTTAGTCAGAAAGAGATAGGAGGGGGTTGACTGATGATATGACCCACTGGCACTAGCCAATCAGTACAACTGGCATAAAGGGAAAGCCTGCTGCAAGGGGGAAAGGGCTCCCTTAAATTTACTCCAGTGGGCAGACATCAAGACAGTCTCCATCACTTCACACATGATAGCCAAATCCTGTGTTCAGTAACGAAAATGGCGTAATTGCTGTAAACTGAGACATCTTCATAGACATCTTTTCCATGAAGAATTGCGTGAGGCGTTGTGCCATGTATGCAGAGATTTCTGAAAGCCATTTGCTTTCAAAAGTTAGGCCATTTGCTGAACGGCACAAGGGGATTCCAGCCAACCATCCCCCCCACACACACACGCGCGCACTGTCAAGGAGAAAGGGTTTCTGTCAAAGACCAAGGTACTCACAGAGCACGCGCAGAGGGACAGGTGGCGAGGTCCGTATGCCTCTCGCGCTGCGTACTTGGCAAGAGTACGACCCCACGTCGTGGGTGGTCACAGCTGGGAAGAAGAGGGAGGGGGCAGAGCCCTCCGACAGCCACTTGGAGTTCTTGTACCAGGTATAAACCACGTTTGGGGCAGAACTTAGATCTTCACAGGTAAGGGAAACGTGAGCCCCCTCGCGCACGTCCGAGGCTGGCTGGATCACGACTCTGGCAGCTACACAAAGAACAAAAATATGGCTCAAGTTGGTTGGATGCCAAGGGGATGCCTCCATACCATTTGAGGGGGGGGGGAAGGGCCCATATGGCTTTTATGCTGGCCCAGCCGATGGCTGGAACGTGGATCTTTTCAGGGAGGCCGAAGGGGTTCTGCTCTGTTTTTAATATGCAAATATTTAGCAGGGCAACATTGACATGTCATTTTAAGACAAAGTGTTTTGGTTTTTTGGGGGGCCGGAAAAGATATTCCAGAGCCTGGATGGAGTGGCCATGCTGACCTGGAGATGTTGGCAGGAACGCCTGCACGGGTGGGGCATCGACTCGGTGAGACGCATGCTTTGCCCAAAGCAGGACCTGACCTCCTCCTCCTCCTCCTCCTCCACAACATCTCCATCTGGGTTGGGAGAGACCCTCGCCTGAGATCTTGAAGCTCCAGTGACCTCTGAAACGCTCAAGGCTGTGCTCCTGACGGGGGATCATGAATCTGCTGTGGGTTTTAGCTTGAACTTCACAGGAGCCTTTCAAGACACAGAACCCTTGAATAGGTCTCTCAAAATTCTGGGTAAAATCCCAGAGCGGATACACTACTCTTCACCACGTTGAATCAACCAAGTGGCTTGGCCAAGATCAGGCTCACGTGTTTCCTGGAGAAGAATCTTTGTCAAGATTTTCACGAGACTCACAAATAAAACTCGCTGGGGGATGCAAAACATCATGTTTCTGGTTTCTTCTGCTTATCTTCTGCAAATAAGCTTATCTTCTGCAAATAAGCTTATCTCATAATTTGTGAACAAGGAAGGTGGTGGCGGCACTTTTTGCCTTGACCGGGTCCTGCACACCAGGGGCGTTGGAGCTACCAAGAGTTTCTGGAGCTCAATCCCGCTGCTCCCATCCTGATGTACTGTTTGCTAAGGATTCAGTGAGGAGCCACAGACGCTTCTGCCTCTTAACTGGCTACGATTTTGGAATTGTTTTGAAGGGAACTCCTTGAAGGAGGTGAGCCCATGTCTAGAAACATCTATTTCTGCTCAAGAAGCTTTCTGTGAGGAAGGGGCTGGCAGTGGGTGACCCCCAAATTCTCCCCCAGGGTGGATCATCTCCAGGGTCGGGTGAGAAGGTCAAGCGCTTGCACCAGTACTTACTCCGCACGGTGAAGTCTAAGGAGGCCGTGGTCTGGCCTATGGCATTGCTAGCCAAGCACTCGTAAGTCCCTTCGTCGTCCAGGCTGACCTCTTTGATCTCAAGTCTCAGGGAGTTCCGGGAGGAGACTGTGCTCAGCCGGTGGCCGGGCACCCTGCTCCCTTGGAAGGCGCTGGCCGCCAGGACTTGGCCAGCTTGGCAGAGCAGCAGGGTGGAGGGGGGGTTGCTGTCCACATTGCAGATCATGATGGCCACCTTCCCATTCAGAGTCTCCAAGAATGACTTCATCTCAGCATTCCTGGGTGGGTCTTCCAGAAAAAGAGAGAGAGAGAGAGATGAAGAAAGGAGAGAGAATGAAACTAGCAGATCAATATGTCATCAACTCTGATTGATGGTGATTGTCCCAGGATTTTCTAGGTATCAACGTTTCCACCCATGTTTCCCCAATCCTTCCTTCCGGTGGCGCTCTGGGGCTCCCATGTCTGCACAGGGAGCAGAGCCCACAGCCCACCAGCCCCACACACTCGGGGTGGTCTTGGCTAGCACCTTCGCTGGGAGGCACAGCAGGGATTTGAACTCCCACCCCCTCGCTCTTCAAACCAGGTGCTCCAATCCACTGAGCTATATGAGGACTTGCCGCATAAAGTGCAGGCAAAACGGTGTATATTGGCTGTTAACTGACATTAAATCAGGATACTTGCTAACAGCAATGTTTATGTCGGGCAAACCGGCATGCGGATACTTGTGTTTGGAGAAAGGCATGCAAAAATGTGCACACATTTTGATACCAATTGGGGGAAAAGTTCTCAAAGTTCAGGATGAGCCCAACTTAAGAGTGGAATAATTCTCAGAGCTGAAGATAAACCAGATGGGCAAACAGGAAACAAACCCACATTGGTCTTTCAACCAAACTGGCCGTTCCAGGAAGACCTTGCTTAAGCAGTGGTTCTATCCCGTCGTTTGCCCTCCAGATGTTTTGGACATCAATTCCCAGAATTCCTGTTTGCCACTAAAGCAGAGATTGCAAAAGAGCCACTCTTTCATCCAACCAGCTCTTCTGCAAGACCTCTCACCCTTTAGGGAAGGGAGAAGACATGCAAACAGTTCTCCAGCCCGCCCCCCCAGCCCCCCAGGACCTACAGAGGACATTGAGTGTGCCAAAGGTAGAGTTCCGAATCCTCTCCCGCGTCTTGACAGTGCAGTAATAGGTCCCCCCGTCTGCCACGTTGGCATGGGGCAGGGTCAGCATCTGGGAAGGCCCTTCTGAGAGCCGCTGGTTGTTCTTATACCAGGTATAGTGTGCCTCACTGGAGGCATTGCTGTCGACGGCACAGGTCAGGTTCACAGAGTTCCCTTCGAGGACATCAGGAGGCGAAATCCAAATCCTTGCAGCTACATGGGAGGCATACGAAGAAAGATCTGTTATAGGCAAAACTATTTGATATATTCGATGTCACCGAATCATAGATGTGCAAAGCGGGTGGGGAATCTCACAGGCCATCTAGTCTGGCCTCCTATAAATACAGGACAGACCCAGACGTGGCACCTTCTTCACCGTTAGGGCTGCACAACGACGGAACCCATGCCCTCGGGAGGTGGCGAGCGCTCCGACGCTGGAGGCCTTCAAGAGAAAATCGGACCAACCTTCTGTCCAATCTGCTTCTATGTGGATCCCTGCCTTGAGCAGGGGGTTGGACTCGATGGCCTTTGGAGGCCCCTTCCAATGCCGTGATTCTATGATTCTATCCCTGAAAGATGATCCTCCAGCCTGTGTGGAAAATACCTCCTACCAAGGAAAGCCTCCTGCCTTCCAAGGCCGTCCATTCCAACCCTTGTCCCAGCAGGAAGTTCTTCCTAATATTTAGTCAACGTCTCCTTTCTCGACCCTTCGAACCTGTTACTTTGGGTCCTACCCTTGGGAGCGGCAATCTCCCTGCCTTGTGGCCGCTCTTCAAACATCACCTCCCGACCTTCTCAAGTCCAGCATCCTCCACCATGAGTTACCTCCAAGAAGTTCAAGGCATTGCCTCCGGCTCTCTTGCTCCCCCACTTTCTCCCACAACTCTCCTGAGTGATCGATCGAGCCGAGAACGGCTGGCCCAGGATGACATCAGAAGCTTCATGGACAGGAACCATTTCTCCCTGGTCCCACTCCAACACCCTGAGTGGGACACTCCCCTGGCTGTTTGCAGGACTGGTTTCTAGGCAAGTCTTAAAGTCTTCTGAACCTCCCTGTGAACCGTATCAAAGCTCCACGGAAGAACTGAACGCAGAGGGTCCCGGGACAGGGTGCTTCTCTGCTTGTTCTCTTCCACAAGCTTTCCCAGCCTGCACCAATCTGCCACTATGAATTCGAGCGCCAGAGAATCTCCCCCAACAATTGCACCTCCAAATGACTAAGCGTTTTGTGACACCTTAAAGAGGAACATATTTTGTTTGTCAGAAGCTTTCGCGGATCCCAACAATTGCACCTCCAAATGACTAAGCATTTTGTGACACCTTAAAGAGGAATCTGAGGGATGTGGTGGCGCTGCGGGCTAAACCGCAGAAGCCTGTGCTGCAGGGTCAGAAGACCAAGCAGTCGCAAGATCGAATCCATGCGACGGAGTGAGCTCCCGTTGCTTTGTCCCAGCTCCTGCCAACCTAGCGGTTCGAAAGCATGCAAATGCAAGTAGATAAATAGGGACCACCTCGGTGGGAAGGTAACAGCGTTCCATGTCTAAGTCGCACTGGCCATGTGACCATGGAAGATTGTCTTCGGACAAAACGCTGGCTCTATGGCTTGGAAACGGGGATGAGCACCGCCCCCTAGCGTCGAACTCGACTGGACAAAAATTGTCAAGGGGAACCTTTACCTTTACCTTTAAAGAGGAATATATTTTGTTTGTCAGAAGCTTTCGCGGACGGCAAATGGCTGTAGTGTACAATGCTTGTTGTTGTTGCTGGTGTGTGTGTGTGTGTGTGTGTGTGTGTGTGTGTGCGCGTGCGTGCGTGCGTGCGTGTGTCTGAGTGGTGTGTGTGTGTGTGTGTGTTTGTTTGTTTGTTTGTTTCTGGGGTTCCAGAAAGACCAGCACCACGGGCCTGAAAAGAAGATGGAGAACTGCAAGGAGAGATGGGATAGCGTGCCTGAGACAAATCTGCAGAGGGTGGCAAGACATGAAGGCCAAAGGATTGGAGCCTCAGCTTCAGGATCTGTCCTTCTAGGGAGCACTCAATGGTTAGTGCCCAATAAAATTTCATGATCTTTAAGGTGCCACAAGGAAATTTAAGAACTGAGTTGTAGGGAGAGGCATCTGCCTTCTAAAAGAAATATGGCCAGGATAACTTTTTATTATTGATAGTGATGTTTGTTTGTTTGTTTGTTTCTGGGGTTCCAGAAAGACCAGCACCACGGGCCTGAAAAGAAGATGGAGAACTGCAAGGAGAGATGGGATAGCGTGCCTGAGACAAATCTGCAGAGGGTGGCAAGACATGAAAGTTTCTATATCAGCGGTAGGAGCTGAATGGGGAAGTGCTAAATGTGGACTTATTTCCAGACAAGAAAAGGGGAAGCCAGCTGGCTGAAGTCTGCAAGGAGAGATGGGATAGCGTGCCTGAGACAAATCTGCAGAGGGTGGCAAGACATGAAAGTTTCTATATCAGCAAGGAGCTGCATGGGGAAGTGCTAAATGTGGACTTTTAGCACCAGACAAGGGGAAGGGAAGCCAGCTGGCTGAAGTCAAGTCTGTGGCAGAGGGAACAAACTGTACACAAAGGAAAGGGCGCGTTCCTGCATGGGAAGAGATGGTATCTGCCCAGGAAGTCAGAATCTGACCCCTGCTTGCCCACAAGGGCGTTCTATGCCTATAAGAAGGATGACCCAAGAAGGAGACTGTGGGCTTGGATCTGCGCTGCAATGATTGCTCCCATTGCTCTTACTGAGAGACTGATCACCTGTCAGGGAAGAGTCCAGGCATGAGTATCGTGTGAATGGAGTGTGAAAGAGGCCTCTTGACACCTTTTTGTTGTCAGCTGGCTGAAGTCAAGTCTGTGGCAGAGGGAACAAACTGTACACAAAGGAAAGGGCGCGTTCCTGCATGGGAAGAGATGGTATCTGCCCAGGAAGTCAGAGTCTGACCCCTGCTTGCCCACAAGGGCGTTCTATGCCTATAAGAAGGATGACCCAAGAAGGAGACTGTGGGCTTGGATCTGCGCTGCAATGATTGCTCCCATTGCTCTTACTGAGAGACTGATCACCTGTCAGGGAAGAGTCCAGGCATGAGTGAGTATCGTGTGAATGGAGTGTGAAAGAGGCCTCTTGACACCTTGGTCTTTTGTTGTCTTATGAAGGAAAGCAATAAATGGGACATGAATAGTGTTATAAACCCCGAAGTTTTGTGGACGGTCTTCTCCCAGTAGCCTGGCTGGACTCTCTCTCTCTCTGTGTGTCCTCTCCTCTCCTCTCCTGGTCCCTCTCCCCAGGATATAAAGGACATGGATCCCCGCGGGGATCCCCCAGTTCCCACATATATACTCACTCTCAGCCGTGAACATCAGGGTGGAGCTGGCCTGGCCGTAGGGGTTGCTGGCTGAGCAGGCATACTCGCCTTCGTCCTCCAGAACCACCCCCCAGATCTCCACGTCCAAGCGGTTGTAGGAGCTGGAAACCTTGACCCGCTGGCTGTGTGCCGGGTGTGGGGGGAGGCTGGAGGCCAAGAGCTCCCCCCGCTTGGAGAAGGCCAACCGGGACTGGGGCTCACTCTCCACCGTGCAGCGGAGGACGGCCACTTCCCTGCCTTGCCTCTGCAGGAAGGAGGTCACCTGGGGGCTCCGAGGTGGGTCTGCGGGGGGGGGGAAGAGAGAGAGAGAGAGAGAGAAATTGAGAGAGGGGACAAGCGGTCCGTAGGGCGAATCGCAGGGCTTGGCTCTTCTCCTCCCCACGTTGTCCCCACAATGACACCCCTGCAAGGTAGGACAGGGTGAGAGAGACCTTTTCAAGTTTCCCCATGGCCAGACTCTTCACCAAAACATCTCCCTCCATATTTCCCAGTTTTCAACAAAAACAAGACTCTTGGTCTCCTTTTTCCGTTATTCGCCTTTTCTTTTTCATAGAAAAGCCTGCTGTTCTCAGCTCAGCACAGGACCCTTTTTGAAGAAAAAAAAAAATCTGGTATAGAAAATGCAGCATGCCTTTGGTTTGTTTTAAACTGAAATTGTAATAATTGTGGGCAGGTTGAGAAAAACATGGCCACACATGATCCCAGAAATCCTGCAAGATTTCC